AAAAAAAAAAAAAAAGAGCACTGGCTGCTCTTCCAGAAGACCCGGGTTCAAATCCCAGCACCCACGTGGTGGCTCACAACTGTCTGTTACTTCAGGTCCAGGTCCACCTTCACACCAATGCACATAAAATAAAGTTAAATAAAATTATTTTTAAAAATTATTTTTACCTTTCTTTTATTGTATGTGTATGAGTAATTTTCTCACATATATGTCTGCAAATTATGTGGGTGTCTGGTACCTAACGTCAGAAGAAAGCATCAGATCCCCCTGAAACTGGAGTTATGGACAGTTGTAAGCTGCCATGTGGGTGCTGGGAATCAAACCCAGATCCTCTGCAAAAATAGTAAGTGCGCTTGACTACTGAGCATCTCTCCAGCCCCATTTTTTTTTTTTTCAAGAAAAAGAAAAAACATGAGAATCCTTCCTAGTCAGTGCCTTAGGCTAAAGCCTGGAGATGCCTATTTGTGATAGGAAAAGGAATAGAGAGTCTTGGCTGGGTTGGAAGCCATATTAAAACTGCAGTGAGGGATTATTTCTCACCAGTACAGCAGACGTTTAACACATCCTATTGGCACAGATGTGGGGAAACAGCCACTTGAATACCTTGCTGGTTTGGGTTTCAGCTGAGGCAAATCCTCCAGAGGGCAGTTTGACAATGCGCGGTGGCTGCAAAAGCTGGTGCCTCCTGAGCCAGCGCTTCAGCATCAAGGAGCCGACCTTCTGCATACATCTGTGTATTTGTGTAAGAGTTAATATTAGAGATGACTTTAGCAACACTGTCTGCCAGAAGATTGAAAGCCTGGCGGCCTGTCAGCAGAAGGAGTCCATGTTTATGACCTATCATGAGTATCTTAGAAAAGATGGAAGTGGGTGACCATCTGGACCTTGGGTTAGGGATGTGGTTGGAGCCAAAGGGAAGAGACATTCGTGGGCTTGGCAGGCACAAGTTGTCCCCTGAGTCCATTCTCCTCTTTGTCAACACTCATACAGTTTTGGCTATGCCAATCTGCCAGCCTCCCTTGGGTTTTACCTAAATTCTCATAGGTGGGGATTCTTTGACTTGTGATCTCCTTTTCATGCAGGTGTGGCGGCCTCAACAGGGCACAGGGCCTGAACAGAGGTGGAGCAGGACAGTGGGAACGGCCTGTGACTCCTTACTCATCAACTTACTTACGCCCGGGCAGACTTATGTGAGAAGGAAGTTTCTGTCAAACTGGAGTCACTGGGAACTCTGCTTTGATGGCTTTTTCTTCAAAGTGTTTGTTTATCAGAACACAGGCCTTTATTTAGGGAGAAAGCCTACAGAATCTTCTGAATAAAGCCACCTGCAGGTCTGTACTTGATTTGAGCTCATTCACATTCCAAGCAACTGTTCCTGAGGTAAGAAGAGCCACACATGACTTTAGACTACTGACTAGATGCTTGCTTTAGAGTCCTTTCAGTGACTTGGTGATTTTTAAAAGTTTTTCAGAAAAAAAAAAAAAAAGGCCTGGCGGCGGTGGTGCACACCTTTAATCCCGGCACTTGGGAGGCAGAGCCAAGTGGATCTGTGTGAGTTCGAGGCCAGTCTGGACTACAGAGTGAGTTCCAGGACAGGTACCAAAACTACATAGAGAAACCATGTCTTGAAAAACCAAAAAGAAAAATTAAGAATTTTTTTTTTGGGGGGGGGTTATAGATTTGAAATTTGGGGCACAAGAAAAAGGAAAAAGTGAGAGAAAACCCAAGGAATGTTCTTTTCAATTGTGACAGTGTCTGCAGAGTTGGGGATGTGAACTCCACCCCAGTGCTCTCCTGTAGCTGAGTGCAGTCCTAGTGGGGGTGATCGGATGTTCTAAAGCCAAGCAGCTAGCCTAATTTCCCCAGCTTTCCCCACAATGCCAGCACACCTCTGTTTACTATAACGTGCTGCAGCAGAAAGAACAAGAGGAGCCCTCATGGCAGGGAAGCACCAACTCCCAAAAGTTGTCTATAGATTTAATAAAAATAAAATCTGTGTTTATTGAGTATTTATTATTGACTCATTACTGAACCAAGTGTTTTTATCTAATCATCTCAGTTAATTTTCAAAATAATCACATGCGATTGGTATTATTTAGATCCCATTTTATAGATGAGAAAAATGAGGCATGATTTGGGAAATGGTCCCAGTACTTTCCATACACCTAGAAAACGGTACAGCTGAACGTTGATTGCAGGCCATTTGATTCCAGAGTCCACATTCGCCGTTCTAAAGCAATAGGTTACTGTACTTTAAACTTCTTTCTTTGTTCTGACTCTTCCAGGCGTCTGTCTTCTCTGCTCTCTTTCAGGGTTGGTTTCCTCCATGATCCCCTAACCACTGGTTATTTGTCACCCTGGTCTTGTGTATTGTGAATTTAAAAAAAAAAAAAATTCTCCAGATGGATGGTTTGCCTACATGTGTGTCTGAGCATCATTTTCATGCCTGGTGCCATGGAGCCAGAAGAGCCTGGAAATTGAATTACAGACAGCTGTGAGCTACCACATGGGTAGCTGGGATTCGAACCCAGGTCCTCTGGAAGAGTAATGAGTGCTCTTAACCACTCTACCATCTATCTCTCCAGCCACTGCATCTTGGAGGTGCAGGTTCTAGTGGTGTGCTCTGGGGAGCACATAGACCCTCTACGGGTTCATTTCCTACCCATGCTTTCTCGATCCTGGGGTTACTTGCTGCCAGGACATCCCTCTGCCTCCCTGGCCTCAGCTCAGGAGTAGTCACTCTCCAGGGGATAACGCTGCTGCTAATGCCTGCTCAGCACAGGAGGAGCAGAATGAAGATCCTCCAACCAGATGCTCTGAATTAAACGCGCTGGTGTTTACCCAGGGGCACCTTCCCCTTCCTTGAGTCCCTTGACTCTGAACTTGGAGCTGTTCCAAAGTCACTCCCACCTCCAAAGCGGGACCTTCTCTGGGTGTGTTTTACGGCGTGGTTTTCTCTGATCTTGTTTTGCTGCTAATTTGATACCATCTGCTTTCTTTTACATGATTTCTCAATTTTGTGAGGGGATCCATTCATAAGAAATAAAATGTTTCTGCATGACAAAATAACTATAAACAAAGGCAAAAAACAGAAGACAGAAATCTTTGCAGTTTCACCGCAGTCGAAGAACTGTGTTATGTGAGGAACTTTTGCCAGCTGACATAAACAGACATTGGTGTACACACATACACACATCTATAGTTCAACAACAATAAAAATAGGAAAGAAAAAAAAACAGACAATCTACAGAAAATGCAAATAATTTGGAAATGTATTAAAACGCTTAATTCTAAAGGTCTTTTAAAAATATGTATTTATTTTTATTTTACATGTATGGCTATTTTGCCCACATGTTTGTCTGTATACTACTTGCATGCAGTCCCTACAGATGACAGAAGAAGTGTCAGATCCCCTGGAACTGGAGTTACAGATGGTTGTGAGCCACCATGTGGATGCTGGGAATCAAACCCTGGCCCTCTGGAACAGCAGTCAGTATTTTTAAAGCTGAGCAGTCTCTCCAGCCTCCTTAACCATAGTGAAAAGAAAAATTAACCTTCCCTAATCAATAATGGTGTGGTACTTTGAATAAAAATGATCCCTATAGGTTCATAGGGAGTGACACTATTAGGAGTTGTGACTTAGTTGGAGTAGGTGTGGCTTTGTTGGAGGAAGTGCCTCACTAGGGTGGTGGGCTTTGAGGTCTCAGAAACTCAAGTCAGATCTTTTCCTGCTGCCTGTAGATCGAAGTGTAGAACTCTCAGCTCCTTCTCCAGCACCATGTCTGCCTGCATGCTGCCATGCTTCCTGCCATGACGATAATGAACTAAACCTCTGAAACTGTAAGCAAGCCCCCATTTAAATGTTTACCTTAATAAGAGTTGCCATGGGCTGGGCGGTGGTGGTGCATGCCTTTAATCCCAGCACTCGGGGAGGTAGAGGCAGGCGGATCTCTGTGAGTTCAAGGCCAGCCTGGTCTACAGAGCTAGTTCCAGGACAACTAGGGCTGTTATACAGAGAAACCCTGTCTCAAAAAACCAACCCCCCCAAAAAAAAACAAAAACAAAAAGCAAACAAACAAAAACAAAAAACAAAAACCCACTGTGACCAATAGAAACTGGACCACTTTCTAGCAGTTTAACAGCATGGTATTGGTCACAGTGTGGACCAGCTTCTAACAGTTTGACAGCATGGTATTGATCACAGTGTGGTGAAACAGGTACTTCCATACATGATTGATGGAGTGAAAAATCACTGGAGTCTCCTGTACAGATAATTTGACAATTATCTATCCATTTCACAGGCGTATATTCTTTCCAGCTCAGCTCTTCCACTTCTAGTACTTCAGTCTGAAGATGTGTTTGCACATTAGGCGCACAAATGGGGCTACTGTCCTAGGTAGCTTTTTATTCTTTTTATTGCTATGATAAACACCAGGACCAAACGCAACTTGGGAGAGAATGGGTTTATTCCATTTTATGCTTCCACATCACAGTTCATCATTGAGGGGACTCAGGGTAAGAACTCAAATAGGAACCTGGAGGCAGAAACTAAAGGAGAGGCCACGAAATGCCCTTCTCTGGCTTGCTCAACTTGTTTTCTTAGACAACCCAGGACCGCCACCTGTCCAGGGGGAGCCCTGCCTACAGTGGGGTGGACCCTCCAACTTCAATCGTCAATCTAGAAAATGCACCCCTTCCCCAGAGTTGCTCCCAGGCCAACCTGGTGGAGGCAGTTCCTCACTTGAGGTTTCCTCTTCCCAGATGACTTGAGTTTGTGTCAAGTTGAAAAATGCCCACCAACGCCGTCACCCACCGCACTGTTTGCATGTGATTACAGAAGTCACTGGGAAGCACCCGCCCGTCTGCAGTGCAGTGTGTTACAAGCCACGGTGAGTGCGCCTGTGTTTATGGCCATAAAGAAAACCGAGAAGCCTCTTTCATGTATGGATTCTATATGGGAGCCAGAGAAAAAGCAGGGTGGCACAGAGGGCAAGAAGAAGAACAAAAATACAGTTTGGATGCTTGAGTTTGCTGCTCATGGCTGGCACCACCTGAGAATGACTGCCTGGGGCAAATGATTAGGGACCTGCTGAAAATGAAACTTCCCTGCAGACCAATGGAACATTCTAGGCCTTCAGATCCAGGTGAGTGCTCTTCTTTCATCACGAGTTTGCTTTCTGATTCTCAGAACCCAGAAATGGCACGGTACTGACTAGATACTTTCCTGTTTTCCGCCTCTGTGGTAAGTCTGCTTCCCTGCCTCACTGGTCGCTTCTCTTTCCTATGTTGTCCCCAACTTCAGGAAAGGGGTTTGGGATTGGGGAGGGGTGATAGGCATGCCCCTCCTCTGCTCTCTGCTCCCATCTGGTCATTTAAGTTCGATTTCCTTTTTATTTGTGTATTTGTGAATTTGTTTGTTTTTGCAGTGTTAGGAATGAAACCTGGGGTCCCAATCATTCTAGGCATCCCTCTAATTCTTAATCTCTAGTGAATATGGTCATGCTCAAAATAGTATGAATGCACATGTGTGGAGAAAGACAGACAGAGAGCCACAGACACTGAGACAGAGAAGGATTTTAAGGAATTAGTTCACCTGCTGGTGGGACAGGCAAGGCTGAAATCTGTAGCAGCCAAAGGCATTGGACATAGAAGGAAGAGTTAATGGTCAAGCCTCGAGGCCAAAACTTATGGACTAGAAACTCAGCCCAGGTTCCTTTGTTGTCTAGAAACCAGTCTTCGCTGTTAGGGCTACAACTAACAAGATGGGGCCCACCCACCCGGTGGAAAGCGATCTCAGAGTCTACGGAGTTGAACATTAATTCCATCTAAGATATATTTGCATGGCATTATTTACACTGGTGTTTACCAAACAACTGGGCACCAGAGCTTAATCAAGTTGGCGTGCTTCAAGCACCACAGCCAGCCTTCCCGTGGCCGCTGTATTTGTGCCATTCACTGCTGTTACCATCAAACAGGCCCTCACCACGCTCACGCCTGTGCCCAGCCATGACACTTTCCAGACACCTGCGCTACAGCAGAGATCACAGGAGTGTCCTTGTCACTCATGTCAGAATCATTCCACGGTTTCCTCTAAACATTAGCGGAAGGATTTCCCACAGGAACTGGGCCCCCGCTGAAGTGGATTTCTTTTTGCTGGCCTCTTTATTGGATGAATTCATCTTGACATAATGGCAGCCATCTTGAGTTGTAGCAGAGAGGCTCCGGCCCAGAAGAACCTGATTGAGTTTTCCTGCATAGTTTCCCAGCAAACTGTAAATAGACACAACATTAGAGTGGCATGTGGAGTTTTACAGCTGGGCCGTGGTGCTAGGAATGTGCCTGTCTCTTTGATACCAGCGTAAGATAAACCAGGTACATTCCACTTTTATGAGGTCACTTTTGTCCTAGCCAATACACGCAGCTCTCCTTCTGACCCAAACTGTGAGGGCCCCCTTGGTCTTGTTGCAGCCCAGGACTGTACTGCTGTCAGCAAGTCACCTGATGAACTACATTCTGTGTAATCCTGAATCTCTTTGCCCTTTTGTTTGGTGTTTCGGTCTCACGGCACCTTGGAGACTGGGTTGTCTCAAAACAATGTAATGATAATAAAAATATAATGATAGCCACTCTATGAGCTTTCTCTGTGTTTTTGTGATATAATGTGTTTTGGGAAAGCACTTTTTTTTTTTAATGGTGCTGTCAGAGACATCATTAGCCCAAGAAAGAAGAGACATTTTCCCCCATTCAAAAGGGTCCTTGGGCAGAGGATGTGGTCAGTAGAGAGTTTATCTAGTGCGTATGAAACCCTGGGTTTGATCTTCAACAAAGCATAAACCAGATTATGAGACGTGCCTATAATCCCAGTATTTGGGAAGTAGAGGCAGGAAAATTGTAAATTCAAGGCTATATTTGACTGCCTAGTGAGCTTGAGATTACCCTGGACTATATAAAACCATATATAAAAAATAAATAAGGCCAGGCATTGCTGGCGCACAGCTTTAATGCTAGCACTTGGGAGGCAGAGGCAGGCGGAGCTCTGTGAGTTCAAGGCCAGCCTGATTTACAGAGTCCCAGGACAGCTGAGACTGTTACATAGAAAAACCCTGTCCCGGGGTGGGGGATGGGCAGGTGATGCTGAAGAAGGTGAATTGGATGTGCTGAGAGAAGGAGTGAGATGGGGTGGGATGGGAACAAAGCTTCCAGGCAAGAAGGCGTAGACCAGCCAACTGTGGCTTCGAAGAGGAGCATCTCAGGTACTGTGAAGAGCTTGTCTTTGGACACTGAGCAGTTGCCCTGGGTGCTGCCAGGGTCCCAGTCTCTGAGTTCTGTCCGGGATACAGTGCCTGGAGGATCATCTCAGATTCCTGACTAGAGAGATGATGGCATTCTAAGCTGGAGCCTACATTTTAGCAAGGGCTATACTACTGACTATCCTGGGGATACCCCAAGACCAGAAGTCATCTCCCCCAAGTGTTACTGACTTGACAAGCTTGGTTTCCAGAATGATCTATGAGAAGGAGAGAGAACACAGGAAATGACTGTCACAGGATATGCTGTGCACCATGGTGACTAGGCCTCAGAGACAGATTTATTTATTGGAGAAAATAAAATGAGGGTACTATCATTCTTGTGCTTAGAGGGACCCTTGCTAGTTAGAAGGTGTACATTCTTTGATAATCTAACTTCGCTCTTAGACCCCTTCTGCTAAGTTCTGTTACCTCCAAAGTCTATCCTACATAGGGTCATTAACCCAAATGTCCTTCCTCTTTGGAGTCCATCTCCACCCAGGACTCTGGAGATTCTCCCTTCTTCCTGACAACACAATCTCTTGGAGGGTCAGTTTACACTGCCAGAACCTCTTGCTTATTGCAGTGCCCTTGTTTCTTCAAATCAAGCATTCTTCTGCAGGGAAAGCTAGAGGTCTCCAACCGTTCCACACTAGACCAGCTTCATAAGAGGCTAATAACTGTTCCAGCAGACTCTCTGTCCCTGAGTTTGGAAAGCACAGCCTATGAGTGCTTGCTTTGGGAAAGTCAGATGCGCATTAGCAGGGAAGATGCTCAGAAGTACGTTAAGCGGCATTCCCCTCAGTCATTTCGTGCTCATTTCGCGGCAGGGCACTTCTCCCATGGCATGCCTGCTGGCACCGTCAGCTCTACAGACGCTGTCTGGGACTCTGATGCAGTAGAAGGAACACCAGACGTAGGACAAAAGGAACTTTGTCCAACTTAGCATGGCCTCCTGTACTTCCAGGGAGTAATCTCTTTCCGTTTGCAAAGTGAGTCGATAGGTCTGGTAGTTTTGTTCAGAGCTGGGACTGAATGGGAGTTTTTCTTGGAGCAATTTAAAAACTGGAGCTGAGCATTCATCCAAGAGTCAAGGCAGAGCACTGACTGGCAAACAGAGAGATCCTCCATGATCTGACAGAGCAGACCAGACCCCAACACCTAGACCTCCCCGGATCTATGACTCCAGGCACATTACAAGCCCTTGTTAGTGGAGTTGATAACGCCTGCTCCACAGTGGGCCCTAGGAGAAGGTGACATAAGATTTTTTTTACATATAATATATACTGACTACAGTTTCTTCTCCCTGTTCCTCCCCACCTCCCCTCCCATCCAGATCTGCCCCCTTTCTGTTTCATTGGGAAACAAACAGGCTTCTAAGGGATAGTAATATAATATAAAATAAAATCTAATAAGATAAAACAAACACAAATACATCAGAATAGGACAAAACAAACGGAAGGAAAAGAGCCCAGGAAAAAGCACAAGAAACAGATATAGACACAGAGATTCACTCGTTCACACACTCAGGAGTCCCATAAAAACACAAAACCAGAAGTCATATACACAAAGGACCTATACAGTTTAAAATAAAAAAAAGGAAGAAATTAAGAAATGATAAAATTAAAAGAAGAAAGAGTCCTAACACAACATTATAAGACAAGAAACTACCTAACATACCATTGAATTTGTTTTCTGTTGGCCATCTACTGCTGGTCATGTGGCCCACCCTTAAGTGTAGCTAATTATCCCAGTGAGAACTTCCTTGGAGAAAATGACATTTTCATTTGCAAGTGATTGTCAATTGAAGATACCCTCTGGGTTAGGGACGGGGCATGTGTCCACTTCTGCTCTCAACTCTAGGACCCCATCTGGTGCAGACCTGTGCAGGTCCTGTGCATGCTGGCTCAGTGTCATTCACACGACTTGCTAGGAGAGGCTGTGGGGTTAGTATGAGACTTTTCCGTTAGGAAAGCCTTATACAGAGCTGAGACGGAACACTGAGGGTATCCATATTCCAAAGAAACTGTGGAAAAGAGTGACTAGAGGCTTGGGAGAAGCAGATGGGGAGTTGTGGGATCTGGCGCAAGGATGTGGTTGCCGATTGTGTGAAGCGCTTTGGGGAGGAAACACTTGCCCAATATGTGGCAGGCCCTGGATTCCATCCTTATCGCCACACACACACACACACACACACACACACACACACACACAC